TCGCTGTGACAGGGAAGCATAAAAAGTTGCCTCTCTGGGCTGTGACCACTCTGGTAGGACTCGTTTGTCATCTCTTGAGCACATTTAACCACTGTCAGTGATTTGTGCTGAAGTAACCCATTTGCTGCTCTGGTTTGGAGCCCAGTGCAGGTGTCCTGCCCACAATCTGGTGGCCCCAATGCTGAAGGACAAGACGATGACCTCTTTGGTAGGTGGCCCTCTTGACAGCTTTGCACCAGGCCACGGGATGTGTTCCTTCAGGATTCTAGGGCCACCATCCTCAGGACAAGCTGGCACGATGGAAAGGGCATGTACCCAAGTCACTGTAGGCAGGGGCTTTGTCTGTTGCTCCTGGATGCAGTGGCAGTGACCATCAGTGGTCCCCAGATTCTGCTGCACAGGCAGCTCGTTCAGAGATTTCGATGGTCATTTCTGCCCAGCATGGGAACTGCCAGCCCTGGGAGCGCCACACCATCAACCCTTGCCATGGCTGACCTCTGCCCAGTGCTGGACATGCCAGCAGTGTCAGCATTGACTGTGGCATCACCTTCTGGCCTGGGAGGGACATGGCATGGAAAGCCCAGCAGAGCTGCTTGATCCCTGCAACGGCCCAGCTGAGGGCAGGTGATCCCACTCTGAAAGAGGGACTCGAGGCAAGAGGACACTGTTGATGGTCTGGAGGGAAACCTGGACCACAGCCCATCCCCTCCGACCTGCTGCGGGATGAGTGTTGTCAGGAGGCTTTGGTTCTTTATGGATCTTCTCTGTGTTGGGTCACCTCTCCACATCTGAGTAGAAGGGAGGCTTCTCCCCCACCAGCGGTTTCAGCAGGCAGACAAGTACTATCTCTTCCCTTTGGTGTCCAGGAGCTGGGCCCGGTGCTTCGGGCAGTGAGAGAATTCAGGAAGTATTAAATAGCTGCTGGATGCGTCACCGCAGCACTTGATCCAGGGCATTGAGTCACAGTGAGCCTGCCAGTATGGAAGGTGGCGGCACCGGGCCACGCCTCCCCTCCCTGCTTGATGTTTTCTTATGTATTGGTTTATTTTTTATTTGTGTGCCTGAGATGAGCAACCCCCTGGCATTTGGGTGGGAGAGGAGCAAGAAGGTCAAGTTCAAAGTAGGAATAAAATGACTGACAGTACCTCAGCATTTTCCTGGAGTGTATCCAAAGGAATGCAGAGCTGCTGTTCCCTGTGGACACCTTGGTGCTTCATAGATGGGCTCATCACAGCCTGCAACAAGTACAAATACATCTTTATTAACTATGAGTCTCTATGACTCTACCCCCAGCCCAAACCCTGACCCGAAAGGCTGGTCTTCTCAATTCTTTTCAGTTTTAATTACACTTTCTGGGAAGCTCTCCCTGTGGCCCTGCTCTCCTGCCAGGGGGTGGACATAGTCAGGGAGGTGAGTGAACCCACAGAAATGTGTGAAACCTTAGTGCTGGCGGGATGCTCATCTCAAAACCTTTATGCTGGTCCCAGATGGTCCTTGTTAGGAGCTCTGGTAGAGGTCTTTGGGACGCTTTGGGATTTGGGTTGCAGGCTAGCCTTGCTGTTGAGTGCAATATGGGTGGGTTTTTTCTGAACCAGACTTTTTTTATTCCTGTGTGTGGCAAAATGTGGTAGAAAGGCTCTTGCAAAGTGCTTGCAGAGCAAGCTGGAAGGTGCTGTCTCAGCTTCTGAGGGACCCTGTGGGGGACACGGCAGGGGTCCCTGCAAATCAGTGGTGGGAGGGTGAGTGCACATGTATTATTTCAGGTCCAGGGAGATCACCAAGCACTGGTGAGTCCCAGCAGCCAATCAGGATGGCAGTTTGCAGGAGCAGAATGTTCATCCTCCTGCACATGCAGAAATGCTGCTTCATCTTCTCTTCCTTTAGCCTGACAGTTTCAGGGAGGCTGGGAGACAGCAATGCCAGTAAACAAAATAAAGCTGAAAGATCTAAGATTTTTAATTTTAATTTTTTTATTTTTTTAGTATCGGCATTTGAAATTCCAACTCTCAGGAAATCTGTTGAAGTCGTGGTATGAATCATCCCTACTCTCAATTTTAGGATGTATTGCATGGGGATGGGAGCAGAAAATTAGTCATTTTTTTAATCTGCTTCTGATAAAAATTGTGGAGTGGTGGGGAAAAGAATTAAATGAATGGCCGTCATGTGGCCCAGCACCTGCAGCCACCTGCTGGCTTCCCTGGTGCTGTTTTGGGGCAGCAGCAGGGCCTGGCAGCTGCCTGCCCTTCTGGTTTGTAATCAAAGTGACCTCCTAGGGCAAATACAAACAGACAGCTGGAAATCTGCCTCCCGTCCAGAACCTTCTCTTCCCCAAGAAAAGCAGTTCTTGCTCAAGGAAAAGCCCATTTTTTCTGCTACCAGGTGGTGTAACAAAGGTATCCGCTGTTAATGCAGGTGGTTGGCAGCAAAGCTTGAGAAGAGGAGGGTCATATTTGCAAGTGGAGCAATGAGACTGTCCCCCAGCTGTTGGGTTTTTTTGACTGATGGTAAAGAGCTGGGTGGGCTACAGCAGAGGTGATGCTGGGGCTGAGGTGAAGGCTTTTAGGTTTATTGCCTGGTGGGTTTTTCTGAACTAGGGTGATACTGGCATAGTGGGATATTGGGAATGAGATGCTATGTTAAGGTTGTGATGTCCCTCCCAAGCAGGAACTGGAGGGTGCAAGGAGCGTTGGAGGTTTACCTCAGATGAGGATGAACCTTCATCTTGTCAGCTCCCCTGTGAGCCCAGAGCTTTGGAGGAAGAGGGCAGCCAGGCTGGTTTTGGGTGGGAGCTGATCCTCCCTTGGAAGGCAGGAGGGAGCAGCCCCCAGCTCTATTTAGCACCCTCTTCAGGGGGACAGATAACATCCTGTATCTGGCACCGAGCTGGGCACAATGACTCCCAAAAACCCCAGTTGTTACAATGAGTGATCAGTTAGTTAACAGGAACCCCCTGTGCTTGCAAAGATATAAGGAAACAATAAAATCGACTGGGTTTTGAGGTGCTGAGGAATGTGAGAGGGAGAGATACAGCGAGGACAATGCCCTGGCTGCTTTTTTGTGGGAGTTTCTCTCACATGAGGAGAAAAGCTGGCTGCCACCGCTCCCAGCTTTTTGGCAGTGGTGTGCCACGTGCTGGCTGCTGGTAAATGATTGCCCAGGAGCGCCAGCCAAGGCAGAGCCAGAGGTTGGTGCGGGGTTTGAACCCAGACAGGTGCCTGGGACCCGTGTGCCGGCAGCCATCCTGCTTCCACAGCCCGCAGTGTTCGGCAGCCACTGGATTTCTCGGGCAAGGTGAGACTGTGTGGCGTGACTCAACAAGCTGGGTTATTTTTCTTATTTATTTTTACACTCCTGGCCTCCTTACCGGGTCATGGTACAGGAGGCGGGATTTGATACTAGCTGGGTTGCTGGCAGGGGGATAATGCTCCCCAGGATGTGTTGCCGCTCCGATTTTGGCATTAGGATACTGCTAAGGGGGAGGTTGGGGTGTGTCTGTTAGTGTACAACAGTGGTTTCAGGGTGAGCTGGGTGGTGCCGCAGTGGCACCTGGACTTTGCTCCATGCCAGGGGACAGTTGCAGCCGTGAATACACAGGATAGGGAGAGCAGTGCCAAAACCCAGCTTTAAAATTAAATTGGGTCAAATCTTGTAAATTTTGGTGGTTTGGGGCTCTCAGGGATGTCAGTCAAACCCAACGTGCCCTTCACCCCCACCGGTTTTCCCCGGTCGCTCAGCCAAGGCAAACATGAGCTCAGCGCTGAGGTATTTGCGCTGCTCTGTGCCCACAGAGGTGGGCAGGGAGGTGACACCACCAGGACCCGGCACCTGCACAGAACAGCCTCACCAAGACATGTCTTCCCTATTTCTTCCTCACCTTTCTCACATCATGACTAAAGTTCCTCGTCACTGAAGGTAGGACCCTTCAAGCCCCCGCCTTTGATTACTCAAGTAGGCAACAAAAAATAATGAAGGTGTGTTTAACCTGAGTTCAAGCTTTCTCACAGCCTGGCTGCAAACTTGGGACAGCTGGAGCTCAGGATGGAGGGGCTGCAACCACATGGGTGAGGTTGTGAAAGCAGTTTGTGACCCTCAGGACAGAGGGCCTGGAAGTTTCCTGTCTATGTTCCTCCATGCAGGGCTTTCAGACAAGATTGACACTACTAAAAACAGTATTATAACAAGGAAAATAGATATATCTTTGCACAGTGTTTGAAAACAGCATAAGCTCAAATATTTGAATTCTTGACAGCTTGTGCTTAATTTTTTCTTATTTACGACCATTGCAGTTGTTGAGCTGCTGGAAGAGGCAGGAGTTGGGTGAGCCCAGGCTAACAGGTGTTGTTTTAAGCTAGAAGTAGCTGATGGGTTAGAGTTGAGTCAGACCCCAGTGTTGGTCAGAGCCTGGGCTTCATCATGGGTGTTCATGCCTGGATCCCTCTCCCAAACCCGACTTTTGGTCATGTTTTTATGCAGAAAGAGGCATTATTTTAATTTCTTAATCCCTCTCTGATAAATTGAGATGGATGTAAATAGATTAAAATGTACATTATCTGCACCTTCCCTCAAAATCCCATTGCAAAAGCAGGCATCCAGTGGTTTCTCTGCCTTTTCCAATGTTGTTTGGAAAATCTTCCTGTGCCATGCTGCCAGATTGTCAGAGAAATTGCAGTGAAAGTCTAGCAAACCCATTAAAAGTCTGTGCTCACAGAAGAAATTACCTGGGCATCCTCTGGACACCATGCAGTTGCACAAACCCCATCTCTTCCCATCACAGAAAGATTTGGACCCACTGCCCAGAGATGAGGGAAAAAATTATTTTTCTTTGCAGATGAAAATCAGTGTTTAATAACATCAACAAAAATGCAATCTGTGCAGGGCAGCAGCAAGCCTTGGTCTAGGATTCACCCATGGGATGATGATTTAATGACACTGCTTTTCAAGTGTCATGTATTCCTTGTTAGTGGCTTGGGATGGAAACCTGGTTTCTTTTCTCCCCACAGGCAGCCTGTCCTGCAATGACCCAGTGCACCTGAGGCCCAGCAGTCGTGGGGATGGAGCTGAAGGTCTGGGTGGATGGGATCCAGAGGGTTGTGTGCGGTGTCTCAGAACAAACTACCTGCCAAGAAGTGGTCATTGCTCTGGCACGGGCCATCGGTGAGCCATCTCCATCTGCTGGGGGGATGCCCCATTTGCAGGAGCTTCCTGGGAAGGGGAGACCTTGAGTGGGTGGGGGTCCTACTCTGCAGCTGTGGGGATGCCACCAGCTGCTGCCAGTGGGGCAGCAGCCTCAGCACACCAGTACTGGCCACTGCTTTCCCTAAATGATATGCTCACCTCCCGGCAGGTCAGACAGGCCGCTATGTGCTGGTGCAGAAGCTGCGGGAGAAGGAGCGGCAGCTGCTGCCGCTGGAGTGCCCCCTGGAGTCCCTGGCCAAGTGTGGGCAGTATGCCAACGATGTGCAGTTCATCCTGCGGCGGACAGGCCCCAGCATGACCGAGCGGCCCTCCTCAGAGGGCGCTCCGCAAGCTCCCGAGAGGACGTTCATCCGGGCCAGTTTGCCCATCAAGCCCAGGCTCACCAGCATGGATGCACCCCGTTCTCGGGAGCCAAAAAAGTCCATGACCTTCAACTTGGGTCCTACAGGCTCCGGTGACCCGTTCACTGTGAGCCGATGGAGGCACCAAACACGGGAAGGGATCGACTTGGAGGGTGGTGGGATTGTCCAACCCTCCAAAGAGGAGCTGTTTAGGAGGGTGCTGCAGCAGCAGGAGCAGCTGCATTCCTTGGAGGCCCATGGGGATACCCTGGAAATGGACCTACGGCTCTGGGAGCGCAGCCGGCTTGCCGGCCAGGAGAATGAGATCCTCTATCTGGAGCAACTGGTACGAAGGAATGAGACAGAGCTGGGCGAGGAGGAATTTTGGCAGAGCGAGCTCCGGCTGGAAAAGGAGTGTGAGCGAGAGAGGCAGGAGCGGGTTAGAAGCCTGCGGGCCAGCCTGGAGGAGTACACCCAGAGGATCTTTGAGCTGAGTGCCCGGACTGAAGCCCTGCAGGAGGAGATCCAGTGGGAGATGGCTGAGAGGGCCAAAAGGGGGAAGGAGATCTCTTTGCCCAGCCCCATAGAGCTGGAGGATATGGCCACCAAAATGAAAAGGGACCTGGAGGCCAAGGTCAAGCAAGGCACTCAGCTGGAGAGCAACCTGGCCAGTGTGGAGAAGGCCCTGGAGGAAGCTGAAAAGAACCTGCAGGTAGATGGGACTGGGTTGAGCCACCCCATGGGATAGTGAGACCTTTGGGGAGGGGATGGGACCAGCTTTACAGCCCCATGGACCAGTGGGTTGAGTGGGGTTAGTTACCCTACCTGGGCAGTGAATGTGGCACTGAGTGCATGGAGATGGCTCAGCAGCAGTGATCACTGTCAGAAAGACACCACCACTCTGACCCGGCTGGCACAGGGTCCCACACCCATCGCCCTGCATGCAAGCTGCATCTGGGCTAAGGCTCCTGCTGGCTAGTGCACTGGGAGCACAGCATCACCCTGCTCCAGCACAGACAATGGTGCTGGAGAGCAAATGGTCCACATGTGGGGTTGGTGGCATTGGCACGAGGATCGATGTTATCTTGGATGAAGGAGTCACAGAGGGCATAGCATAGGTCCTCATGGTGCCTGTGCACAAAGCCTTTTGACCATGCAAGCTGTGCAAGGGCTCAGGCTCATGGCAGGGGGCTGCACAGTGTGGAGATGGCAGCTCAGGCTGAGCTGTGATGCCCCCTCAGCTCACCTGTTGCAGCCCCCCCAACATCAGGGGGTCAAGGGGCTGTGTGACTCCTGCCTTCTGCCCACTGGGTCCCCTTCGGTGGAGCAAAAGCAAAAAGCTTTCACCCAGTCAGGCAGTGGTAGCTGTCCTTCCCCAGCTGACCGTGCTCACAGCATCTTGCCTTAAGCATCTCATTTGTGCTCGGCATCTCCCAGCACAGCAGCGGCTGCCATTTGCCGGCTGCTCGCACCCTCTTGTGGAGATGCAGCAAACCAGGGCTGTTCCCAAAACAATGCCTTCTCATCGCCACTGCCTGAGCACCCTCCTTCCTGCAGACCCTCGGAGAGGGGCAGCTGAGCCACGGTACTCCTGAGGTCCCCTCCACTGGCTTTGGCAGAGTGAGCCCCAGCTGGGGGAGCAGCCCCAGGGGTTGTATCCCCAGGCTGTGGCCTGGGGACATAAAGGGAACATGCAGCTCATCCTGTTCCCTCCCTCGGTGTGTGTTTTGCAGGCCCAGACCCAAGAGCTGGAGGAGTTAAATAAGGAGCTGAGGCAGTGTAATTTGCAGCAGTTTATTCAGCAGACGGGGGCCACGGTGACTGTCCTGCAGGCCAGGTCTGAGGAGGATGCCCAGCCGGAGCCGAGCCCGTGCGAGCTGCCAGCCTACCGGAGAAACGGAGGTCAGCATGCTGCCGCTGGCTCGGCCGCAGGGGCTGCTCCGCGGGACCCCTGCCCGCTCCCTGCCTCCTTCTATAAGGCGTCAGTCCCAAAGCTGGCTGGTTCTGCCCTGGGCACTGAGGTTAGGCAGCAGGGATGGGGTTTGGTGCTGACACGACAGTCGCTCACCACTCCAGTGGGTCTCTGAGCTTTGCCACCCCCGGGGTTCCTTCCTCGCCCCCATTGAAGTCTGGGGGCTGCTCATAGACACGCTCAGAATTCAGATCCTGCAGTGCTGCTTTAGGGGCTGAGGTGGCTGCAGGGAGCTTTCCTTCCCCACCTTGCTGCATGCCACCGCAGCAGCTGTAGCAAAAAGCAGATGGCCAAGGGCCAGTGTCAGTCCCCAGGGGCTGTGGGCTGGTGGGGACAGGCTCTGGTCGCCAGTGACCTCTTTGTGTTTGGCAAGGGAAGGGTGAGTGTGGTGCCCAGGGCCATGTCTGCATCCTTGCAGGGACAAGAGGAGGTGGGGAGGGCTCTCACAGAAGGGGACCTGGTCATTTCTCCTCCAGAGCACCTGGAGTGGGTGACGTGACTGCCCTGCAGCACTGCGGCAGCTGTGCCCAGAAAGCAAAGCACAGGATGTGCAAGCCCTGCCTAAGCCAGGTGTTTTTCCCTGTCCTGTAGGTTTTCCTCCCACCGCTGGTACCGACTCGCCTCCCCGAGTCAGCACCAAGCAGCTCCTCAGCCATCCCAGGACCCTGCCGGAGCCCCTGGTGTCCAGCCTGAATCCTGAGGGTGCGTATGTCCTGTTGGGGCCCTGGGAGCATGAGCCAGTCTGCAGAGGATGGGTGGGAAGAGGGGAGAGGCTTTTGCTGCCCAAAATGGGCTGCAGAGAGCAAGCGTGTGCTGGTAGTGGGAGGCCGGAGCTATTTATAGATGCCATTAGGAAGCACAAAGCTCACACTCCAGCAGTCTCTGCTCTGCTGCCAGGGGCTCATATGCTGGTAGTCCAGCTCTCTACCCTGCTGGGAGCTGTGGAGGATGGTCCTCACCCCCTCTCCTGCCACTCTGGGCTAAGACTTCGCTGTGATTAGGGTGGGGAGAATTTGTATCCCGTCTTTTACAGGAGCTACTGTTGCTCCATCTTAGCAACCAGTTCACCCCAGACCCCTTTCCACCTCCTGTTACTCTTTTTTCACCTTGCACCTGGTTTTGAGTGCAGCAGAAGTGAGCTGTAGTGTCCTTGCCTGCCATGGCGATGCCGCCTCCATCCTGGCATCCCCTTCCCACCCATGCCACCATTGCCTCAGCAAAACCCTACTGCCATCCTCCTCACTGCCCAATACATCCACCCCCATCTTGCCAGATGCCGCAGCATCTGCATGTCCATCTCCCAGGTTTTGCACTCACGTACATCCTCTTTTCTGCTCCCCTTTTTGTGAGCGCTTGCCCACCATGGTGGGATTGCTCAAGTGGTTTTTTCTCTTGTCTTGCAGTTGTATCAACCAGGCAGAGCATCTGGAGGTAGAAGGGCCCGGGCAGTGGAGGATCAATTGCCTTGCAAGTGTAACTGTATAAATAAACCATATTATATATATATATTTTATATTTTTTTTTTTACTGCTTTATAACGTGAATGGATGTGGACGGCCAGACAGAGTATTTTTACAGACTATAAAATAAAACCAGAGACTGACGACACAAAGCAACCATCTTTCCCTGCGGATGAAAGTGACCCCCTTCTACTTTTTTTAAAACAGTTTCTATATTCAACAGAAAACAGCGGTGCTCCCATTCTGCATAGCCTCCTCAAAAGACACATCGCGCATTTGGAAAAGTCCTTGTTCCTTTGACTAAGGGAGCAGAGCTGCCATGGAGACCTGCCTGGAGACTCACCTGGATGGAGCAAGTTAACAGATTTTACAGCATCTCATCGCAGCAAGCAGGGCCATGACAAATAGCCTCTTCACTGGCTGCAGGGGAGGCACAAGAGCAGCTTTAAGACAAATTTCTGGCCTCTCTTTTCTTATATATATTATAAGAAACCTGTAGTAGAAGCCCATTTTCCATGGTGCCATGGACCATGCTTGAAGGGAGCAATGGAGCACAGAGCAAGAGCTTGTTTTTCTCATATCCACTTAGTTTTTCAACTTGTTTTTAAAATAAAATATTGCAGAATGAGCCCTTCCCCAGTGGTGATGTGAGTGGGGAGCAGGACCAAAATGCTCTTGGTGACATTTCCCCTGGGGGTTTTTTTGATTCTTTTTTCTGTTTGTTTTTTTTAACTCTTGATGGCCAGTAGCTACTGTTTCGTTCATCTGTCCTCTGTCCCAGTGGGTTGCCTTGTATTTTAATTGCAAAACCAAAGCGGTTTGGGGAGGGGATGAATTTGTCCACATCCTCAAGCCTGTTTTCAACGCGTCATATGCAAAAAACATGACTTGGGCACAGCGTTCACCGTAAAATCCTGCTTTCCCTGTGCGAATGTAATCCTGTGTGCTGCAGATCCAGTTTTCAATAAATCTTTGGGAAAGGATTTGAGCCAAGTGAGCGTGCTGTTGTGGGCAGGGTGAGCCATCTCTGACAGCTCCTGGTCCGGTGCCTGACGGACACATCTGAGCTGTTTGCGCACCCTGCAGCTGCCTCTTTCATTTCCAAGCCATCTCTTTCTATTTGCTGAATTAAAGCTGTAAGTATTTTATGACCGACTGAATCTTATGCACACAGTGCTCTTTTTTCTTTTTTTTTTCTTTTTTTTTTTTAAATCACAAAGTGCTTTACAGCCGGCGGATGCAGCTTGTCTCTGGTGAGATGTGGCCATCTCTGGGATGAAACATGACAACCTTTTAATAATGCACAGCAGCAGCTCGGAGCATTTTAGGACAGGAGGCAAAGGGGATGGCGTTTGTCTGCAGATAGGAGCAGGTAAGGGGAAACCTCCCATTTGCCTTCAAGCCCCTTTGTCTGCACCTGGATAACAGCAGCCAAGAATGTCAGCTCTTGCTGTCCATCAGCATCTCCCCTGAGACTCTGCTGGGCTCTGTCCCCAGGGACATGCCCCTCTCAAAGCCAGTTTTCAAGGTGCTACCACAGCCACCAGGTTGGTCAAGCGATATTGAAGGATTAAAGTTTGTTTTGTTGGGAGATCACTGGTCTCAGGTTACCACTGGAGAGCTGCTGCGGTGAGGAAATGCAATTTTGAAGTTGTCGTTTTGAATCGGGGATTTTTGTGGGGGTTCTTTTTCAAGTTCCTCCTCACCCCCCTCCTTAAACCATGTATCTCAGGGAAATTAGTTAAAAATGCATTTGCTCCATGCAGCTGCATCTAGTTTCTCCCATTTGCCTGTTTTTTGGACTTTGTGCACTCATTTTTTTGGACTCTCTTGCTTTTTAAAAAGATTCCACCTCGCTAAGAGAAGTGGAGGGTGATGGAGGTTGTAAAGAGCATTTCAGTGCTGCTTGGGAAAAACACCCAAGAAGTGGGTTCAGAAAACTCACTTGCCTTGGATATGGCTAGATTTTGGTAAGTCCTCTGCATGCCCTGAAACACTGACCTCTGCAGGTTAAAAATTGGATCTTTCATTTTGGGGGCTACATTTGTAGCTTTGCCTTCAGCAAAATAAATGGTAATAAAGAGAAAAGGGTCGTCACTTATGGCACTTCCTATTGGAAAAAACGGGGGCAGAAAATTAATTTGAATCTGATTTTGGGGGGGATTTTGCCCTCTGTTATGATTATATATTATTTATTGCTGTTGCGGGTTGCTTCTGTTCAGTCATGATCTCACAGGTCAAACCAGCACCAGTCTTTCCTGGAGGGAGGTGTCGTAGGGTGTGGAAAATAAAGGTTTAAAATATATATATCACAGCAGATTTTGGCCCTTCAGCTGATGCCCCTTGGCTGGGATGCAGGATTTGGAACTGTTGCATCGGATGGGAGACAGTGTAACTCGACCGTGTTCCCCACTGAGGTCTGATAATCAGGCAGGGGCCTAGGAAGAGTACTGTAGCCAGGGGCTAACTCTTGTTTGTTCAGCTCAAGACTGTGGCACTTTGCAGATTTTCTTCATTTTGTGTCCTACAAACCATCGCCCAGCTGCTGCCTAGGCAGCAGTGTTTTGTAAGGCAATAAATTACTTTGATTAACACCTCTGTCCCTGCTGTGGTGCACGTGGCGGTGGGGGGGAGAGGCGTTAATCAAACCCACACGTTACCTCAGGAGCTCCCCAGCCGTGGGTGACCTATATTCCTCCCGGCACGGGGGGCCTGCGATGGCAGGGCGAACGTGCGGGTCCCCGCGTGTTATTTAACTGAGTGAGGCTCAATACCCACTCTGGCTCCCCCGCCCTCCTGCTTTTATCTGCTCTAAAGCCTGTGTCAATAATACATTTCTGCCATTGAATATTTTATTGATGGTTTGACTTTTTTTGCTGCTCGCAATTCCCATTTCAAGGCTGCGTGATTGTTCCTAATTAAAATTTTATGCCCTGGGACAAGCCTTCTTGCTACAGTGGAGATGATGCTGTCCTTTTCTAGGCCACTACAGAGCAGTAGGAAGGAATTACCCATTGTTATGAGATTAAAACAAAGCAAATAAATTATTGTTTTTCTCTTGAAAAACAAACCAAAAGCCTAGCGTACGATGCGTACTGGAGAGGGAACAACTGGCTTGCGGGCAAGGCAGGGATCTAAGCATACAGGGTGGCTTGAGGATGCTGTGCCTGGCTGAGCTTCTTCCTTTCCTGTAGTGGGTGGGAATGAGCTTCAGAGCTTCTCTCTCCTCAGATGTTTCTCACTACTGGCTCCAGTGCCACCCAAAAATCACAAAGCAAAGGATATACCTGTTTGTCACTGGTCATCAGCCTCAGCTTTTTGCTGCCTTTTTTTTTTTTTTTAAATAAATCTGCAGGTTCTGTCAGCACAAGGCACCATTCAGGAGAGTAATTCAGCCACCTCCAGCCTCCCTGGAGCTCTTTTCGTCACTGCACTACATGATTTTTAATTTTTTTTAATATGGCGATAGAAAAATTGCCCCCATCTCTTCACCCATCTACTCTGGACTGTCAGCTCCTTAGGCCAGGCATCCTCTGCAGATGGTCTGGGTGCCAGCACCGCCCCAGGCCAGTACAGTTTCTCAAGACACTTACACCACCCCCAGTTCACAGTCACAGATTTGTACGAGTTCCTCAGTGTTTGGGTTTGGATTTTTTTCCCCTAAATTTCATCTAGAGTGGTAGAAGCACTTGTGCTGCCTCCCAGCCCCTGAATTTGGCAAGCAGCTTTTGAAGCACACACTTCAGCTCCAGTTACATAAGGAAAGGTGTGAATATCTGGAGGAGAAAATGCCTGTTGGCTTTGCTCCCCAAGTGGTGTCCAGATGCTCTGCTGCTCCTGGGCGCACAGCTTCTACCAGGGTAGTTCACTGCAGATGGAGAAGAGCTGCTTGAACTGGCATGTGTGTCCACGCAGGGAGCATTGTCTGCTCTCCTATGATGATTTTTCTTTTTGTCTCAGAGTACAGACTGAGTGCATCCTACCTTGCCCTGGAAAAAAAAATAAAAATCATAAAGCACTAGAGGATGCTGGGAAATTTTCTTGTTTATGGATGAGCAAGTTTCTCTCCCAATGGAACCTCCTGCCAGCAGAAATCTTTTTTTTTTTTTTTTTTAGGATGTATTATATAAGTCTCTGCTTGCATTTAACTAACTGACTTCCTCTTAAACAATTTATATACTCCTTCTATTCCTCAGAGGCCAGCCTGCTCCTTCGGTGAGGCTCACCACGTAGGGCCTGCCAGTGGGCCATGTTACAGACAGAACACGATAGGCACTTCTCGGTGTGATGCTTGGAGGGCTAGGCCTGCTTGTTTCCCTCCATGAGTTGCTGAAATGAGAACAAAATCTTTGAGGAGAACAGAGTCCCTTCAGCTCAGTGGGCCTGATATTCAGCATCTTCCCTCCTGTAAGGCACAGCCCTGCCTCTCACCGAAAAGCTAACAGCATCAGTTTTGAGGGGGAGCACCCAACTACTCTTGTTACTAAGCTAAGTATCACCTGTTTATTAGCTACTGAAAAACATGAAATTAAGGGGCATCACAGTCCTGGTGTATTTTCTCATCACTCAGGAGCACTCAGCAGCTCTCAGGCTGGGGCAGGAGGGAAGGCACTGATGCCGGGCTTTCTGCTTGAGGGACAACCATGTCACAACCTTCTGCTCTCCTTTTCAAGACATCTTCCCCGGCTACAGAGGCAAAATAAGAGATGGGAGGCACAGGGCATGCAGCGCACATCAGACACATCACTGAGAAGGCACAGCTTTCCTCTTCAGCTGGTCTGGCACCCTGGATTACAGTAATCAGCACCCAAACACTGTTTTTGCACTATTTATTGAAGACTTCAGGTGACAGCACAGCAGGTTAGTTTTGAATCACGCCTCAAGAATGTCAAAAACAGGAATTGAGCTGTGTGCTCCCCCTGCTTACTGGAGACACTCAAAAAACCAGCAAAAACAAACAAGCAAACTTCTTTTCAACCCCTTCCCTTTGCTTACTGGAGCTGAACAGGATGGTTCCATAGGTAGCAGGAAGTTGGAAGCATTCAT